CCAAGGAGGCTGCCTTCTCTAGTGAGATGCTCAAAAGCTACCTCAAGCTCAAACATTTTAGTTTTCACCAAAGGAGAGAAAGGACATGTGTGGCAGAAGAGCCTAGACTTGTGAGAATCAGGAATGCCAAGAGCCAAAGCCAGTGACGGCTCAGGGAGAAATGGCACAGACCACAGGAAGAGAGACTACTCCTATTGAAGGGGGGATAAGGCACGGCAGACCCTGGCATAAGGGGAAGGAAGCATGGTAAGGGGAGTGGGACCTTAGGGATACAGAAGGTTCCTACAGGGCAAAGAGGATGTGAAACAGGAAAGGAGAAAGGGGAGAAACAGAGATTCAAGAGCAATAGAGGGTGGGGAGAAAGAGCACCAAGGGCAGTGGGTACAGGACTGGCAGAGCCTCCCCACTTGCCTCTGGCCAGACGCCCATGAGGCACTGCACTCCTGCACCCATGTTCACAGGATGCTGAGAAAGCACCCTACATCTTTTCTTGGGGAAGATTTTGGGAAATGAAAAGTCCCAGGCCAGGGCAGACTAAGTAAGGAGTACATGGCTAAAAGCCATTCACCTTAAAGCTGGACACTTACCTACCTTAAGCTCCATATTCCTATAATTCCCACACTATCTCCTTCAAAGTAGAGCCATGAGAAATGAATGTGAGGACACCCACTTGGGAGCACATGTTTCAGGGGTCAGACCTGCCTCCTTGCTGAGCCATCCTGGACTTGGAGGCAGAGAAATAAGGCACAAGCCATGGAGAGTCACTGCAGAAGTGAGCAAAACCTGTGTTTACCCACCTCGTGGAGCAAGAGTCAGACCCCATGGGTCCATTCCCAGTCCTATAGGCCAATGCAACTTTGGTTTGATTTTTTTTTAAGATTTTATTTATTTACTTTTAGAGAAAGAGAAAGACAGAGAGAGGGGAAGAAACATCAGTGTGTGGCTGCCTCTCATGTACCCCACAACGGGGACCAGCCCACAACCCAGGCATGTGCCCTGACTGGGAACCAAATCAGCAACCTTTTGGCTCTCAGGTCACCATTCAATCCACTAAGCCACACCAGCCAGGGCTGATTTGGTTTTTTAAACATTGACTTTTCTGAGATGTTTTTCCTGGTTTATTTTCATTCTGTAACCTCAGCAACAGAACTAGCCCCAGGTTCTCCCGAAGAGGAAGACCTTTCAGGGAGAATTCCATCCAGCTTCAGAAAGACTCCCACCAAAAAGGTGAGCTGCCCTGGGGAAAGGCTTGATGCGGAAGGTGCCAGAGACAGGCTGTCATGAGAATCATGCCCCTCACCCTCACAATCACTTTCCAGGAGACATGAGGTGAACTACAGTGTGCCCAAGAGGAGGTGGGCTGTGGGTCGGGGTGGGCTGGCTCCCAGTCTTCAAAAGGGAGGATTATAAGGTAGAGTCTATAAATCTTAGCTTGCAGTTAATCTCAAACTTCTTGAACAGCTCATGAAACAGAAGTAGCTAAGATCTTAGGAAAGGAAGCAGAAAACTCCAGAAGCAACCTTGTGGAGAACCAGGACTCAAGTCAGGCCCTACTACCCTCCTTTCCTTGTTTGAAGGTGAGGGTCTCTTGGCTGTGATTTCAGTGAGAAGAATGCTACTGATATTGGAGATCTGGATTTTAACAAATTTGCCAAGGATGACTGTGTGGTTTCATAGGGACATGAGGACCAGTGCTGACTTCAGGACAACCCAATGACAGGCCCCAGGCTCTATCTGGCTCTGCACTGCCTAACAAGTGGATACAGACTGATAAAGGATTAGTCATAGCTTCAGATGAAAAAACTGAACCAGACCAAGATGATGAATGAGAGGCAATTTAACATGAGCACATGGAAAGCTCTGCATTTCGATAACCAGGGTCCCTCGGCCTGAGTACAAATGAGACAGAACTACTTCAGCGTATCTCACAGAGAGAGGGTTTAGGCATTTTGTGAGATTTGGGCTCCATGAAAGTCTACTGCATGAACGGCTGCTCAAGGTATGGATGCAGTTGTTGGCAAGTGTGCCCCCAGACCCCTCAGATGCCCATAGTTTCTATGCACCCTTCCCTTGGGGTAAGCCCTATAACCCCATGCAGAGCCCTGCCCGGGCTCCTGGAGCTTCTAGCCTGCATGCCAGAGCCAGAAGTGCTTGGAGATTACTGCACCCCCATCCCTGGTGGCCCTTACCCTCAAAATGGAACCTGGACCCAGGGTTTCCCTGTGGGACCTGGGCTAAGCCAGGAATCTACCTGAAATCACACCCTTGACTGGGCCTCTATCCCTTCTCTGCCTTGTGCTCCCACTCCCTCTCATTAATAAACTCAGAACCCTCATCCCAGCACAAGCTTCCAGGGAACCCAGCCCCAGACCAGTGAGCAATGAGGGTTAAGATGGTCCTCAACAGGGCTCTTGGAACTACAGTTTCGGATGGCTACAGCCAGAGCATACATGTCCCAAGCAAGGTGCAAATCAGGGAACAAAAGAGCTGGAAGAGGCTGCGAATGAGGAATGGTCAAGAAGACAGGATGTGGGCAAGAGCTAGCCCCCCCCTTTGGCTACAGAAGTGCCGTCCAATACCACCAGCATGTGTGCTGAGTGCTAACTCAGTGCCAAGACATCTTATGGGGGTTATTCCATTTACTCTTCACAGGAAACCTAAGGAGGCACCATTATCATACCCATTGTATAGAGAAGGAGGCTGAGGATTAGCAAAGTTAGTAACTTGCCCAAAATCTCACGGCTGTAGGTGAGACCCAGGATTCAAACTCAAGCTTTACCCACTAAACTACAGTGTGCCCCACTCTCATGTCCTAAGTGCCAAGACCTGCACTGGAAAGGCATGTCAGTTGGCCCCTTGCTAAATAAGAATCCAGCACCTCTAGGAGACACAGACCTAATGCAGCTGACATGGAAAGTGCTGTCAGTGGCACCAGACCATCCTCTGCTTTTCCACCCTCCCAGCCCTGTATCCTCAGGGCAGCAGCATCTTATACTCTAGCAGGAACAGCTTCCCCCCAAGTGGACTAGTGATTCCCTACCAGGGTGATGGCAGCCTGTGTCCTGGCCGGGACCATAGGGCACAAGCTCCAAAAAGCCAGGCTTCAGCTGTTGGGGGCTTGGAAGGCTGCCAGGCAGGAGAGACAGGGATAGAAGGGAGGGGAATTCCTGCCTGGGCAGGGAACTCTAGTAATCTGGGGTGAATCCTCCAAAGGACAGAATCTGTGAGAGAAAAAAAAAAAAAATAAGACCAGCCAGGACCAACAACCCTTCCTGGGCAAAGCTCTGACCTCTACTACTTTAAGTTCAAAGCAAATGTACAAATAATGAAAGCCACCACCTCCCAGAGCAGGAACTGAAGGAGACCCAGAAAGTCTGATCAGAAATCCGGAGTCTGAGAGACTTGTAAACCAAGCTGGTGGCCATGTCCCAGGACCCTAGACAACTGCCAGTCAGGACTGCCCAGGGAGTGACCAGAGTGGGAGGCAGGGGCAGTTTCTGCCTCCAGGACAAATTCAGAAATTAACCTACAGTCAATCCACAGTGGGCTGCGGCTGTACAGTGTAGCTAGTGGGCACAGTTCCTGCTGTCTCAGGACAACAAGCTTAACGAGGAGGGTGTTTTCAGGACACCACCCTGAGATTTCTCTCAGTCAAGATGAAGTGGGTAGGCAGCTTCAGCTATCCCATTCCCACTCAGGGCCTGGCCCAGCCTGCCATGCTGGCACACCAGGTTCTGCCAGGAGGTGGCAAGAATAGGCACACATTGGCCGAACAGAGTGAACTCATGAGAATCTGCATATGACACAAGAAAGTCTCTCCATGAAAGGTTTCACTGGTCCCAGCCAAGCCCTATGGCATGTGGCCCTTCACCTTCCCCTCCAGAACCTCCCACCTGTCATAGGTAGTAGCCTCACCTCCTTTTGCTCCTCAGCCTCCTGGAACTCCTTCCTGAATCCACACCACATGTGTGTGTGTTTGACCCTAACGGGTTCCTCCTTGGTTCCCACGCCCCCATTCCCTTGGGCCCTTGCCTTCCACACTAATTTATCCAATGGTAGCCAAAGGGCTATTTTTAAAATGAAATCTGGCCCTACCATCCCTTCCACACCTCCCCTGAGTCCCTTTCCTCACTCCAGGATGCTCACAATGGGAACTTCCTTTGTTAGCCTCCCAGCCCAACACCTCCAAATAGCCTGCATTACAGTGACTCAACACAGCCCAGGCAGGACAGGGACCTCCAAGCCCCTGACCAGGCTATTCTCTGCCTACCTGACACACTCCTCACCCTCTGCCCACCTGTCCAAACCCGCTGTGTCCTCAAGACCCTGCTTAGCTGTGGCCCTATAGGAAGGTGGCCTCCTCAGTCCTATTCCTTACCCTTCCCTTCATGTCCCCACAGCCATTCGCTCTCTCCAGCCTGGTGCCTCAGCAGGGCTTGGCATAAAGACTGCCCAGTACCCATGTGTCACTCCTGAGAGCATGATGTGCCTGCCCTGTACCACACAGAAGAGGACAGGCCCAGGCTCTGGGCGAGACAGTGCCTAGAGACTCATGACTGCACAAAAAACCTGCCTGGTCTATTTTTTAAAGGGAGGCTAGGTCAAGTTCCTTCCTGCTGTTCACACCTAACCTTCTGTCCCTACCCCACTGGCAAAAGTTGTTCCAACTTGCTGTCATTTTGAAGCAAGTCTGGCATTTTATCAGGCCCAGCTAGAACTGTGAAAGCCATGGTTCTGGGTAGAGCCCACTGAGGGGCCTTGGAAGGCTTTTGACCTGAAGTATGCCTTTCTCACCTGCTCCTTTGGCCCCTTAAGTATGTCACTCTTGCTTGTGAAATTAACCCAGTGCTGCCCGAATCATTTCTACCTCGGCGAGTACCAGGTCCCTGGGGGGGGGGGGGGCTGCTGCTGTCAGGTCCTGGGTTTCCAGGTGCAAAAGGGGGCCCAAAACAGGGCCCCATCATGGGCAAAGCTGCATGTGCACCCAGACTCCACCCTCCCATGCCCAGTGACCCTGGGCAGGACACTAACCTTCTGGCTCCGTCACAGGGTGGGCTGACAGACTGTCTCAGGAGCTTGGATTTTTCAACTTGAAGCCCCAGGATGAGGACCCAAGCCCACTCCCATCCTCCACAGGCCTGGAGAGATCCTTGGGTGATAAAGTCAGGCTGTACCCTGGTGTCCTGGGCTTCCCCGCTCCCATAATCCCCTGGCTCACAGGCCTCCCTGCCCCCCACGGCCTCACAGCTCCTTCCATTTTCCACCAGGTGGGAGACCCCAATCCAGGTTCCTTCTCTTTTCCCATTGATTCCTACCCTCTCTTCTTTGAATAACTGTACCCACTGAAAATAAATCCCTAAATCAAAGGAATGAGGTAATAATGGTGTAATTTCAGGCAGTGTGACATATTTGGGGACAGTTGGCCACCTGTTCTGTTCCTGTGGGCACAGTGACCTACAAGGAAGGCGGCTCTTACAAGCACGCTGTGGACTTTCTGTAAAGCTCATCACCCTCATACTGAGATGTACCTCTCTTCTACATGAGCACAGTGAGGGCAGGCACAGCCTGTCACATTTCCCAAGGAATCCATAGAAGCTGGCACAGAATGTGGCCTAGGTAAATTCGTGTTCATGGCTGCCCTTCCCTGACTGACCAGGCATGCTGCAGGTAAAAAAACCCAGGCTTCCGCCAGCCCTGCTTTGCATCCTAGCCCTCCACTTCAAGCTGTCCAGCCCAGGTGTTTTAGCCAGAACCCTGCCAAATGTCTGTGGTTTTGTCTGTAACACGGAATGAAGAGGTGAAGACTCAACAAGTAACAAACAGTATGTGGCACCCAGGAGGCCTTCGACAGTGTCAGTTCACTTCTCTAAAGACCCAGCCGATCTGTCACCTGGGGCCCCACATGTCATGGCAAGGATTCATTATGTCTCAGCCCTGTTCTAAAATAAAGCCGCTGAGAGTCCTAAGGGAAATCATTGCAGAGATCTGAAGAGACTGCAAAAGACAATTATTTTTACAGAAATATCAGAATCTCCCTGATGCACTGCTAAAACTCTATCCCTAAGTTCAGAGCCCAGATGTGCAGAGATGTGACTCTTAGGAATCAAGCCCTTAAAACTCAGCACAGCTGCAAGTTGCAAGAAGTCCCCAGACTGAAGTCCTGTGGTCTGATAGCGGCCTACAGCAGAGATGTGTCCAAAGCTGCCAAAGAGCACGTGGCCTCCACTGTCTCTGGTTGGGGGCTGAGTCCATGGGCCCAAGACAGCTCTTAGGGCCACAGCTCCTCACTCAGGAGCTGCGCTGGAGCAGCCACAGCAGCTGGGGTGCCTCAGAGACTGCATGACAGCTCGTAGTGGCCCCCTCCAACTCTCAGCAGACAGGCTGTCCTCACTGGCAGGTGCCTGCTGCAGCTGCTCAAACTGCATCTCCAGGTGCTTCTGAATGGCCACACCAAGCACCTCAGGGTCCACTGCAGCTCCATACACTTCCCACGTCATGCCTTCAGCATCCCATCGCACATCCTGCACGGGAGATGATGCCTCCTCCAGGCTGGATCCCAGAGTTACCTCTGGAAATGTGTGCTGGGCCTCAGGGGCTTCCAGGGGTGGGCTGGTAGCCACAGCCTTGCACTCTGCCATCGGGGCTGCCTGTACACCAGCATCCTGTGCTGACAGAGGGGCCATCAACACTGGGGCCAAGTCACTGGCTGAAGTCATGGTCCACACATCCTTGGTCCTGGCGCCAGGCTCCATAGCTAATCCAGTGGGACCCCAGGGATGGGCGCAGCAGTGGAAATGCCCAGGAAGACCCCCAGGCAACCTACACTGGAACTTCACCCCATGCTGAGCCTGCAGCCCAGACTCACTCACTGATGCTACTAGTTTGGGAAAGGCCAAGACCCCAGGGGCAGGCAGAGCATGGCAGTAGTCACTGGCCCCCACCTCTGTCAAGCCACAGAGTTGAGCTGCTGGGGGCAGAGCTTGGCAGGAGGTGGTGGCCGACTGCCCAGTGGCTTTGGGCCTGGCCTTGGGGCTACTGCTGTGGGTGGTTGTGCCTCCCAGGACTAGTGGTGACACCCACACTTGACTCTCTCCCAACGTCCAGGCTGAGTTTGAAGTCCCAGCCTCTGCAGCCAGGTCTCTTTCCAGGGCTGCAGGGGCCTGCCCTCCCTGGCCAGAAGTACTGCCAGGCTGCAGCTGAGCCCTGTGGACTGGCGAGCTGCCAAGGGCTGAGCAGCTGAGGCTGGCCTTTCGAACACCACTGTGGCCCCGCGTCTGGGTGCTATGGACCAGGTCCGAGTGGCTCCTCTGCACAGCTGCGGTGCTGGGGGCCCGCAGGTGACATAGGTCACCACCGCCCATGGTAGATATATTGCCCACTGTGCTGCTCCGCCAGTGGCCCACAGCACCAGGCCGTGGTCTGGGGCTGGAGGTCAGTGCCTGTTCTGTGCTCTTAGCCTGGTACCCCTCTTCCTCCAGGACCTGGGGACTGGTGCTGGCCTCGCCCGGCTGGGCCTGCCATACAGTGCTGCTGGCACTTTTTCGAAGCTTTGGCCTCTGTCCCCGGCCTTCACCCAGCAGGCTGGAAGAACTCCGAGACAGGGGCTGTGGGCGGGGGTTCAAGGGTGCCTGGGCACCTGGCTCAGGGTGGCTGGTGCTCATGAGTGCCTGCAGAAAAGAGAGGGAGGAAAGACAGTTGAGTTGTGTGGCAGCACTTCTGCTGGATTCTGCTGCAGGCTCACAAGGTGCTGGGCACACTGGAGAGAGAGCTTCAGTCCTAGCCTCCTAAAGGCTCAGAGCCATAAGCAAAACAGTGACAAGATACTAGACACTTCAAATCAAGGTTATTACACATATACACAGGCATGACACTACAAATATCAAATAACCAGTACCAAGTGACTAGAACCAGCCCGGGAATAGAGTCCTGGAGACCACCCACCACGCTGGCTGGTGACTCTTTACTGCTGGACTATGGGATGGCGGAGAAGTCAGGGAAAGAGCAAGAGCGGGGCCTTGTGGGTGGGAACTTTGAGCGAAACAGTGAAAAGACACTAGACATTTCAAATAGCTCTTAGTCAATCAGCACATAAGTATTGCAGTATTTTAATAACCAGTAAAGCTCGACTGACAAATACTAGCCTGGCTCCTCCCATGGCTGTCAGTATCCACCTGGCTCTGGACTGGGGACTCCTTGGTATACACTAGGGGTCCAGAGAAGGTTTGTAAGATAAATAAACAATGAGTAGAGGACACACTGAGACTTGCCTGGGCTCTCCCACGGCCTACCCCCATTCTCTCTGGCCCAGCCTGGCTGAGCTCTCTGACCCTGGAACTCCGTCTTGGCATCTGAAAGGGCAGGAGTTTCCCAACTCCTATCTCTGGCTCCAAGGAGAGGGAAGAACCCCCCCCACATCAGCCCTTTCCATGCAAAGCTCATTCAGCATCTGTTCATTCCACAGCCATTTCCTGAGCACTTGCATGCCAGAGGGGCTCTGACTAACTTAGATCCAGCTATGACCTGGAAATGGGTCCCAAACCACCAATCAGACACACCCTCCATGAAGTTTAAACCCCCTCTTGCCAAGTGTGCCTGCACCCTCTTTGCCTCCCTCCTTCCCTACCATTTCTGTCCCTTCCTTCAGCTACACAGACCCCTCTAGACCTGCCACTGACCCATCTGTAGCCTCATGTCAGTACTGGCCCCTTCAACCTCAGCATCGCCTCTTGGGGAAGCTTTCCTGAGCTGGGCTGGCACCCTATCTGTCTGAGGACTATCTGGCCTGGATGGAAGAGTCTGGCCGACCGTGGACCTCTCACCAGCCTGAAGCCATCAAAGCAGGCCTAAAACCTGTTCCCCTGCTCTGTCCAGTACCCAGTACTAACCTGACATACAGCTGATACTCAGAGAATGCCTGCTGTATGCCTGGTGGAGAGAAGGAACAAATACAAGAGTCATACACAAAGGAAAGGACTCAGCACCAAAAATGAGTCTGAGGGATGGCATTTCTAGAGCAAGAGTACTCACTTTGTATGATGGATCAAAAAAGGCTTCCTGGGGTAGGAAGGCTCCCGGCCATGTAAGTTGAGCCTGGAGAAAGAAGAGGGAAAGAGTGCCCAGGGAGGAGGAACAGGGTGAGCAAAAGGCAGGAGGCATGTGTTCAGAGCACCCGGGGGAGCAGCAGTGGGCTGGGGCTGGGCAGGGCCACAGAAGAAGTGGGGTCAGGGCACCTGGGCCAACCTGGCCCTTGCCAAAGCTGTGAATTAGGAACATCACTCTGGCACTCCCTGCCAGGCAGGATGGGCTGGAGAAACAGGGCAAGGACAACAAGAAACGAGGACAATTTGGGCAACCCCAGTCCCGCCTTCCCACCCCTGGGCTGATAAGAACTGCCAAAAAACTAACCACCCTGGCCTGGTGAGCAAGGCCACCTGAAAGGGAATGTGGCAAGGGCCCTCAGGAACTCAGTTTCTGTATAATTACAAACTTCTTGCTGTCAGCACTCAGCAGATGGCCACTGGCTGTTCAAGCAAACAGTGAGGATGTTTCTGAAGCTGTGGCGCCCTCAGAGCTCAAGGCTTGCTATGGGGTCCAGGCTCAGCACAGCTGCCTGCGATGATAAAAGATTCTCTTCTGCACTATCCAATACAGTGGGCACTGGCCACACGTGATTAAAGACTACCATACTAGACTGAGCAGTTCCAGACCCAGCCCTAACCTGGGCAAGAGTGTCCCCTCCTAGCTGCTCCTTGGAGCCAATACCAGACTGGTTCCTGGAAGGATCACGAAAATGATGAGTAGCCAAGAGAGACCATGACCCAGGCCCTGCCCTCAAGGATGTGAATGATGGACACATAAACAGAGAAGGGCAACAAGGCCAATAACAATCCTGGTGGTGATGGTGATGGTGATGATGATGATGATGATAGCAGCTCCTAGGACTAAATCACCCACTGTGTGACCGATGTACCACATTCTTTCTAGTACTGTCTCATTGAATTGTCACAGCAACTTCATGAGATACATTATCATTCACATTCCACAGATGAGAAGGCCAGAGCTCAGAGGTTTAGTGACTTGCCCTAGAACAAGGAGGACAGGAAGTGTGCCAGATGGCCAGGAAGGCTATGGACACTGACAGCCCCAGGCAAGCAGACAGCCACCCAGCTGCATGTCTAAGAACACCAAGGAGGCCCCATCTGGACAGCCTACACAGCCTCTGACTGAGCTCCACCTACCCTGGACCCTCCTAGAGAGCAAGGTCATAGAGAACCAAGCCAGGCCCTGGACCCCCTGAGGAACCAGGTGAAGTGAGGCTGGGGTGCCATCAGACCCTACCAGGAGCAAGTGAGAAGCCATCAGTGACAAGGGTTCCCCTGTGCCTGTCTCGCCAGGTAGCTCCCCAGTACCCACGGCCGTGAGTCAGAGACAGCAGTGACAACAAAGTCCCCGTGGGGTGGGGGAACATTCTGTATCTGTTGATTCCTTTCCTCACCCCACTTCCACAAGTGTCATGTGACAAAACTGAGACCTGGAGCAGTTCAGAAATGTCTGAGAACCTACAGCTGAACCCCAACAGGGTATTCCTCCTACAACCTGGCCTTCCCACCCCCAACAGCAAGACAGGCTCTGAGGGAAGTAATGCAGGTTACCTTGGGGAAAAGGAGGTTTCCCATACCCCCTAGCTCAAAGGAAAGGAGCCTTGCAGGGAGTGATGAGAGCTGACCACATATGCACCGGAGCCGTGTCTGAGCAGGTGGGGCAAGAAATATGCTTCCAACCCTGCCTCTTCCCCTTCTTGTGTACATGCCTTCAAGTGGACACTTAACCTCTTTCAGCTCCTCAACCTGCAAGACAGAAGTAAATCCCTACCTTGCAGGGGTTTTGTGAAGACTAAATGTGATGGCATAAGGACTATCTTGAAAGATCATTGTTAACAGTCTTTTGGAAAATGTTTTACACTAAAGAGGCCCTGCGAAGATGTTTTAGCACAGGATAAAGGACAGAAACACTAAAGTATCCAAGACCCCTGGTGTTCTTTGGGTGACACTTTAATGTTCTCTCTCCTGTCCCAGTTGACGCTGATCAAAGCTGTGAAGTGCCCAGCACCTTTAGCCAATACAGGACTGTCCTGTTGCCACCGTTCTGCTTATCAGTACATGGAGGAGGAACCAGGCTCACATGCAGCCATCAAGCAATGTCATTTTGAGTAAAAGTTCCCAGCTCTGCAGAAATTTCCAGCCTGACCCAACTGAAGAGACTGCTAGGTCTCTTGGTCCAAGATTCTACCTCTTGCTATGTCACCCCAGCACAGGGACGCAGGCCTTCGGGTGTTTGCCAATGTAAAAGACCAAGGCAGGCCCATTTCGGGCCCTACTCCTCCCCTTGTAAGGAGAATAGTGACTTCTGCTTCCAGCAAAACCAAAACAGGAAAAGGCAAACACATGTGGCCAAGAGGGGAAACTGTCCAATTCTTAAATATGGGCCTTAGCCCCCAGACACCAGGTAGAGTTATCGCCTCACAAATCCCTCATTGCAGAGTGGGGGTGGGGCAATCTTCAGCAGGTGGTCTGATTCAACCCAGCAGCAAATGGCCTGACAGGAAGACTCAGGGCCAAAGCTGGGCAATGCAGCACTGAATGCTACAGCGAGGGAGTGTTTGGAGGGGACAAAACTTGCCCATCACAGAGAGGGGCCTTTAAGAACAAGATGTTCAGGAACAAAGTTGTGCCAGGAAAGGGTTCTAGGGTCACCCTGGGTTATTGGCCCCAAGAACCCAGCTCTGCTAACCAAAAAGAAGCCCCAGAGCTTCCACCACTGAGGAGGATTTGCCCACATTTCCCAGGAAGCACCTTGGGTGGAGAAGGTAAGCCCTCCTGGCACAGATGTCCCAAACCAGAAGCAGCCCAGACGGCTGTTGTGCCCCTACCTTCAGGCTCACTGGCACCCATGCACCGCCATGGGCCCATGCCCCACCCATAGTCACACCAAAGGTGGACGCACAGGCCCTTCTGCTGTTCCAGCCTGCAGCAAACACTGCCTACACAGCCGCATTCCGCACACCGATCACCCAGGCCTGAGCAGAGCGCACCGCACCGCACCGCACCGCACCGCACCACATCCACACCCCAGGGCAGGGCTCCTTTCTCTGTTCCTCCGGCCCGAAAGCCCATCCAGACTCAGGAAGAAGGTCCTCAACACGTTCCTCCAAACGAGGCTAAAGACCTTCCCAGTAGTCAAGACAGTAACTGAGGGAAGACCGGACTGTGGGGCAAGGGAGTAGGGAAGGAGAGCAGGAGGGCGAAGGGAGGTTTGGAGCGGGGGCAGTCACCGGCGGGCAACGTGGAGCGCGGAGAAGGAATGGGAGTGGGAAGAAGCAACAGGACCAGGGGTCTTGGGCAGAGTAAATGGGAAGATGGGCCGAGGAAACAGACAAGAAGATGGGATAGGCAATGAGAGCAGAGAGGGGAGGAGGAATACGGGCACAGGGGGCGCTGAGTTCTGGGCAGGGGCCAGAATGCGGAGGGTCTGAGAGCAGGGAAAGGCGGGGAGTGGGGTTTCGGGGAGCAGGAGTGGAAGACACCACCCAGGCCATGTGTGGCCCAGCCCGACCCACCCTCGAACACGCTCCGAACCGTTCTCTCACCCTGTCGCCTGCCCGGAGCCGTGCAGGCCGGCGGAAGCGCTTCTCCCGCGGCCGCCACAGGTACCCGGTGTGGCGGCCCAAGATGGAGCCGAACGCGACCTGGGCCACAGACTCCGCCAGCCCGGTTCGCCCGGCGTGCGGGGCGGCTGCTGAGAGGCGCGGAGGAGGGGCCCGGGGGGCGGCGCCCCCGCTCACCTGGGCCGCCCGCGTCCGCGGACGACCCGCCCCGACTCTGCCCCCGAGTCCACGTCCTCGGAGCCCCGCCCTCGGACCCTGCGCCCCAGCCCCTGCCAGCCCTGCACGACGCCGGCGACTGTCTCTCCAGAGACCCCCTGCTTCCCTGCCCCTCGGTGTGTCCTGCGTCTTCCTGGCTCCGTCCTTCACTAGCCTCGGCTTCCGACTCTGCTCTAGGGCCCGCCCTCTCGGATACCGAGCCGTTCCCTTCAAGCCCGTCCCCCACGAACCCCCCTTCTCCAAGACCTGGACCCCACCATCGCATCCCTCCAGATCCCCAGACCGACCCTGGTCCTTTGAGCTCCGCCTCCGCGGCCCCTCCACGCTCCCAGCCTTGTATGCTGAGCCCTCTGCCCAGCCTCCACGACCCCGACCTCATTGAGTCCATCCCCAGAGTTGTGTTCCTCGCCCTGCCACTAAGGCCCGTATTCTCCCACCCCTTTCCCGGCCCACATCTCGATCTCACCTTTGACCACCACCCCCCCCCAACCCAATTCCCGGCACTCAGTCTCCAGTCAGCCCCCATGGACCCCAACAGCAGGCGCGCACAATAACCGTGCGGGGAAGAGCTGAGCGTCCTCCCGCCCCCCACCCCCTCTCACCCCCCACCCCCGCCGAAGCCTTCCCGCTGTCCCTGCATCCACCAAATGCTCTGCTTCCTCCCCACCTGCCCCACAAACATCTGGAGCCAGTCCAGGCCCTGGGAATGCCTGTACACACCCTACGGAGCTGGGGTCCTGAGTGTTCATTTCCCTTAACATCCTCCAGTCTCCGACAGTCACTGGCCAGGCTCTGGACCCACAGACTCAGCAGATGACCACAGGCCCGGGCTTGCCCCAACCGCTTCCACCCTCAAGGGGCTCTTACCGCCCACCTCCAGGATAGAGTAGTAAGAGGAGTTTGTCCTATCTCTGGGTCTCAGTCTTGGAGATTTGGGTCCCAATGCTGGCCCTCTTCTGTCCATCCTAGCTCCAGGGAACCCTGATTCGCTTGTGCAGCTGTTTGCTGAAGGGTCTGCACCTCTCTGGTCCAGGGACCATCTCCACACCTCCTCTACTCTAGGAAGACGTCAGGACCCAGCCTCAACTTTGGCCTCTCTGGGCCCTGTTCTGCCGCTGGAGCACCAGGAGGGGGGTCTACAGAGAGTCCCACAGCCCTGCAAGCAAGGCAGAGAGTGGAAAGCCTGGGCAGAAGCCTGTACCACTCAGTCTCCAGTTGGCCCTGCCACCCTGGCACATAGCCTGGGGCAGGGGTGGGGGCATTGTAAGGCATGATGTTTCAGGTCTGAACTCTGACCCAGCACCCAGCCACCCTGTGCCTTGGTGTGCTCTCTGCATGTGCAGCCCCTCTCAGCCTTAGTGCTCCTGTCTGTAGCTCTGAGCTGCCCCTCATCAGTTTGCCAAGAACACACAGATGGTACTACATCAGGCACAGCATTTGGCCCAGTGGGTCATGCCGTCATACTTTCCTGCCTGGCCTTTAACCACAGGCACTGCAGCCTACTCCCCCTAGCCTGAAATCTTCCTTCTTAAGTCCTGGAAGCCTTGGTCCTACCTTCTCTACTCCTCCCCACCCTGGTCAGTTACCACCTCAAGTTGGGTACTCAGTCACTGGTGAAGTGGATAGGGTTCTGCTCAGGAAGACCCCTTCCGGTGGGATCTTAGGGCACAATTACAGAGCCTGACAGATGGCTGTCCTGGGGGACCAAGCACTGGAAGCCAGCAGAGGGGTCCAATCAGAGGCTTCAGGCCTTGGCCTCCCACCACATAGCCTGGCAGGGGGATCCTGGCCAAAGGGGGCAAATGTGGAATTTGTTTGCTGAGGCCACTACTCATTTTTGCCCAGTATTAGGACTTGTTTTTCCACATCTCAGAAGTCTTACTCCTAGTCTCTTTCTAGGGAAGTCAACTTAGCACCAATAAGGGATGAGCTACACAGGATTACACAGAGTTGGTATCAGATCAGAGACTGAAACCTAGGGCTTCCAGCTCTCTGAGCACCTGAGAACCCTCCGAGCCTCCTATCTCAAGTGTTTCAAGGAGGCCTGCTTGGAGCTGGGTGTCAACAAATGTCTACCACCACATTAGATGCTTGCAGATGCAACCTGGCTGGACCTGCCCCCAGGGTCTCTGAGCATCATTCCAGCCTTGACCTCTTGTCCAACTGGTCCTCTCCTTCCATTTGTCAAGGAAGTTCCCTGTGGCCATTCAGGGAGAGCCCAGGATGGGGAGCCAGACATAAACTGCAACCCCAACTCCCCCCATGTCCATTCAATTGCTCTTCAGTCCCACACCAAGTCAATACTGTCCGTACCTCTGGGTATTGGTTTCCTCATCTGCAGTGGCAATAATTATACTTGCCTCACAGGGCTGTGCTAAAGATGAGGTTTATGGAATGTTCTGTAGAGTGCTCTTGCTGCTATGTCATTTGATCAGAAATTTATCGGGCTCCTCCTAAGTCAGGTTCTGGGGACATAAGCCAGGACTGCATGGTGTGGGAGCTGGTTTTGTTGGTTGCTTTGGTAGAGAGGAGGCTCTAGCCAAGTGCCATTTCCTGAGATGTGGAACCCTGACAGAGGAGGAACAAATATGGTGCACTCAGGAGTTCAGTGGGTGAGCAGTGGGATGGAAGACACACCAGCTGGACACGCAAGTTGAACGTACAGGATTGGAGTTTCCTAAAAGGTCTGGGCATCACGGGCACAAAGGTCCCTGCAGTCACAAGAGTGGATAAGGTTTTCAGGGAGACTGAAGAAAAGGTTCTAGTACCCCACTGTGAGTACACTAGTGGCAAAGGACTATGAAAGAGCATCCAGAAAAGAAAGAGGGAAACTAAGACACTGCTGTGACCGAGGCCACTTAGAGCAAGCAGCTTTGGTGAGGTGATAGGAGCAGAAGCCACTGGAGTAGATGAAAGGATGAGTCAGAGGAGAGAACCACAGACAGCACAGGCACAGGCGGCTCTTTTAAGCATAGTCATAAAGGGGAGAAGAGAGAAAAGAGTCTCTTGGAAATGGATGTGGAGTCAAGAAAGAGATTTTTGGGTTTGGGTTCTATGTTTTGGGTTGTTTTTTTTTAAGATTTTATTTATCTTTAGAGGGGAAAAGGAGAGAGTGAGAGAAATAGCAATGTATGGTTACCTCTCGTGTGTCCCCTGCTGGGAACTGGCCTACAACCCAAGCATGTGCCCTGACTGGGAATCGAACCGCGATCCTCTGGATCAAACTGTGTTCAATCCACTGAGCTACACCAGCCAGGGCTATGGTTTTTGTTTTTTTTTTATTTTAAGATTTTATTTTTTCTAGAGGGGAGGGGGAGGGGGGGGAAGTTGGGGACGGCTTGGTTGTTTTTTAATAGGCTGTGTCATGTAGTAGTATTCCTTGATTTCAAGTAACAGAAAACGACTCTGGGTAATTTAAGCAAAAAGGAAATGTGTTGAAAGACAGCAGGGAGCTCAGATTAAAAGCTAATACTGGAGAGTTTGCCTCAGTCCTTTCACACAGGAGCCAGTTTCCTTGAGACAGCAGCTCGTCAACAGCAGGAGCCACTCCACGGTCTTGCCCTGTCACCGCCATGAAAAGAAAGATTCTACTTCTTTGTCCTTTGTATGCCTCTCAGGCAAAGTTTCAAAGTCCCAAGGGAGCAAGAACTCACTTGGCTGAGCTACAACCATGAGCCCTCTGTCCTTGGAGGGTGAGAGGAATACTGGGCCAAATGAATGGCCCAGTGAGAGTAGGAACCACTGCTGGCATAAGGTCCTTGGACTGGGATCCCGAACATGTGAAGTAGGAGCAGGGGCAGCTTCTCCACGAAGCAGGAAGAACTGACAGGGGCAGTCCTGGGTAACTCACTGCATTTAGAAATTGAAGTCTGTGTTTCTGTTCTCTCTGTGAAATAAAAGGCAAGCTTATGTGCTGAGACAGAAAGGGGAAGATAGAAAGTTTGGATAGATGAGTAAAGCAGAAGATGTTTGAAAATAGTCACTTCAGAAAGTAGAAGAGAGAGCCTGTTGGCCAAACAATGTTGGAGCCTACTCAATATTTATGACCAGCAATGATATCTCCCAGGAAGAATCTTCACCAAAGAAAGACAAGTCTTAATCAGGACTCACAGTTGTAAGAGAGGGAAGGGAAGAGTCAAGGCCATAGCCTTCCAGATGCTGGTGGCCCAGAAGATACGCTACAGCCAGCTGGACACTGCTGATTTCACTTGTTGAGTAGCTGGCTTACCAAGAGTCAGTTGAGTTTGTTCATATCAAAGTTACTTATTCCGAGTGTACATGTTATAACTATGAAATTTAATTAAATAACACATACACTGATAGAATATAAATACAAAAAAGCTTTGTTCCTGTAAAACCTAGGTTAAATGTTTTAGAAAGTGAATCACAAAAACTGCTGTCAGTTACATGTCTAAGTGTGGGAAAGGTAACTTGAAAAAGAATAGGAATATCATAACAATCTAGAAAAATTCTGAACCAGCTTGCTTCCCAGCTGTCTTTAAGTTAATTTGCTTGCCTATTAACCAATAGTTAACCTGAGATGCCTCAGGAACAGAGAGCTTCAACTACTTGAACAATATCTGTTTTTCAGACCAAAGAGTCACCAGAGTGTGAGAGACTCCTCTAGCCATAAGATCCTTGAGAGAAAAAGATGCTGATGGACTTCCCAGGACCTGGAATTTAATAGATGCTCACACAGACAGAGAGAGAGAGAGAGAGAGATTCAGTTTATCCAGGAATACCCATTACCATCTCAGTTTCATCCACAAATATTTTACTGAATCCCTAACGCATGCCAGTCCTAGGCTATGAGCTTGGAATATATGCTGAATCAGACATGCCTTGACC